TTATGATCGATATTTTGGATATGTACTAATAAATAATTTTTGAAATTAATAATTTTTTTAGTTAATTCTTGATAAAATTTAAACCATCAAAAAAGTAAGTTTATTTAGTTTTCAAAAAATTTGGAATATTTATTTTATTTATTGAAACGTTTTCATTTTTGGATCTTGTTTTTTAAAATATATCCTATTTGGATTTATATGAATTTATATCTAACGAAATAGTATACTATATAGAAAAATTGCTTTTGAGATATTTTGAGGTTTTATAACAGAAAAGTTTTTTGGATATATTATTTTTCACCCTATACTTTGGTTAATATTGAAAATGTACTCCCTTCCCTTTATTTTTTTATTTCTTGTAATCATGTTAGCATCTTAAACAGATAAATGGATGCATTAAAATATTTAGAAATATCAAAAGATAAATACCATCTAACTGATAAGATTACTTTTGAATAAAAGTATTCAAATAAAAAAATAATCATTCAAAAAATATTCAAACATAATTGATTAAATATATATAATATCATCTTATATCATAGTATATCTTGAAGTTTAAATACTTTTAAAGTTATTATTGGCTAAATATATATTACATGTTACTTTTAGAAATAGTCTGCGTTTCGAATAAATCTCATAATAAAAATTTATTAAATTTTATATGCGGTCCTATGCTACATCTTGGAGTTAAAGAAATTTATATACATATATATATGTTTAGCCTTCTAACACCTACTACTTATCGATAAATACTTATGTTATGCTATACTACATACTTTATAGCATTTTAAAGTAGTTACAGTTAGTTTTAAATTATTTTTTTCTTCTTATAATATAATATATATGTACTTATAACATATTATATAGATTTAAAGTAATTATAGTTATTTGTAAAGCATTTTACTCCTTCAGAACCATGTCTACAATACAACTAACTCCAACCATTAATCTCTAGAAATGAAAGAGGACCCATAATCCCATAAACAGTAAGAACTGTACCGACAGAACTAAGGGCAGATTCTAAACTATTAGTTGACTCGCAAAACTGCTTCCATTCCGAATGTACTGTACTATAACCTTTCTCTACCTGTCGTCTAACTGTTTACCTGTTCCCCCAAACACTTAAATTCTAGCGCTCCTGATTGATTTGTAGTTCTGTTAAGCATCAAACTAGTTAGTTCCTTTTTTCTATACTATATTTCCTAATACTTCATTTAACAAACTATCTACCACCGTTCATTACCCATTTTAATCTATTCTTTTTTTACATTTCAGAGAAAAAATATTAATATGATTTAACCATTGTCAATATGATACAGTATGATTGCTGGAAATAGATTTAAAAACTCTGCTAAACCATTCGAAGTATAGATTTTCTAATTATCTTATATTTCAGATAACGAAAATGTGATGATAGCACATATATGTTTTAAGAAGCTTTAAATTCCAAACAAATGGTTTATCTAGACAGGTTTGGTTAAGTTGAAGTGATCTTGTGGCTAAAGCTCACATGATCTCAAATAGTTTAACCAGCTAACAAGTGCTCTATCGTTTGTCAAGATTAAATAATAATTTGATTTATAACCTATCAAAGAATTTTTACTTGAGAAAATCTAGTATCCGTAGGGATGCATGTCCTAATTTAAGTCTGGATTTAGTCACATACTAAGTAGTTATTTTCCACACATACGTACATTTATCCTCAATACACGTAGCAACTATTTTATTACATGGCACACTAGGTGGTACTCTTTCTATCGTTCCATACTTGCGTATTGTAATAAATCTGATTAACTCAATTGATTAAATATTGTAGCAGTGAATCAGTGAGTCAGTGAATTATTTCCTTAACTGTTATCCCCTGTGAAAGACGCAAGTGCATATTGCAATTGAAATAACACTTTCATTTACAACAACAACAGCACTTGAATTAAATTATCTGTACTTTTTTCTTGGTGTAATAATCTTACGACTACAAGAATTTATGTCACTGCCTCAATTATAGTTAAACAGTTGTTTTTATTATACAAAATAAAATTTTGAATGAAAATAATTCAACTCGGTTTATTCATGTGCGCCTAGTGCCTTTGGTGATAACCAGCAGCGCTATCATTTCATATCAGAACACTTGCTGCTGTGTTTACTTGCGCGCAGGTGTTTCCACTAAAATGAATGAGCGTTTTTTGTTTACTCAATTGATAAAGAGCAACGGTAGATAGTCGTCTACGGAAAGTGTAGATGATAAAGTATTTCCTTTATAGGAGCACTGATAAAATATTGTGTGTGTGAACATTTGTAACATAAGCACTTAAACAAATTTATAAAGTACATTATTGTATAAATAATGAATGATATTGCATGTCTGCAATCATTGCAGAAACTTCATGGTACAATTTAAATATTATGTGTACTTGCTGATACTGATACTGATACAGTCATTATATCTTTTTCGGCAATTCTGTTAGTCATAAACTAATATCGCAAATATTTTTAGCTATTTTATGTTGTGGGATGACTTGAAAAAAGATATAGAATATAGTTGTGGAGCAGTTGCTTGACTCATGCACTTCATTAGCACAGGTGCGCAGGTGTTCAGTGCTAGGTAAAAGTGTACTTATCATAATTATGCGATTAGATAATTATAAGATAAATAGTCCCAACAATACAAATATATGATTAAAAATAGTTGATTCGAAAACATTGTCTTATCTTTATTTAATTTGTTAAATATTTCACTTACTCTTGGTGGCCCGTCTCGGTTTACTAATAAACTGATATCATGGTTAACAGGGATGTATAATGCTTCGCTAGCTATGCGTAATTCACGTAATTTATGTTGTTCTGCCTCATTTAAGTCCCTCCCCACAATTATGTTTGAAGGCGAGGATATTTGTTGCTGTGGCAATCTTTGTGGCTCCATCATTGAATCGTCGAAGTCGTGCGGATGTCCACACATAAGGTGGGCACCATATTGTTCTTGCTTAATTCTTTCCTGTGGGGAGCTATTTAAAGCTAAATACTCTATTCGTATTACCTCCGATAGTACGGATTCGAATGAGTTCATACTGTCGCCGAATCCAGTGCTTTCAGCAAAAGTATTTTGCATAAGACTTTTAAAGTCAAAATGTTGACTATCAAATTCTGCCTCGTGTGTAATATTGGCAGGTGAACTGGTTAACAAAGTAGTCGAAGTGCTTGGAAATTCTTCTTGCGGTAAACTTAATGGCGAATTGTATTGCAAATCATTCGTTGTAATAGAAATTGGTGATGTTAGCGACATGGCTTGTGGTGATGGTGTAAAAGGAGTAACTGTAGGTGGTGGTGGTATTGTTGTATCATAGGGCGGAGTGTGTGTTGTTAAATCTCTTTCACTGGGGCTGCTGTCTAACATTTTATTCAGCAGTGTATTGTCTGTAATGGGTGAATCAACTTGCGATTGTGGTGATATGGGTAAATGGAATGGTGATGTATTTTCTAAAACAACTGCTGGCGGTATGTCGTTATTGTTATTATTATTGTTGTTTTTATTTTCACTACTCGCTGCTGGTGCATTGCTACCGTTAAAGATTTTATTTATCATTTTCAATGCTTCTGCTGGTGTGTTCATAAACTTATTCATTATATGTAAAGCATCCTCTGGTGAATCCATTAAGTTGCGTATAAATTGTAGTACGTCTTGTGGTGAATCAACAATTTTGGATATAATTTCTAAAGCATCCGTAGGCGAGCTCATAAATTTTGTAAAAACATTCAGCGCATTAAGTGGCGAATTCATTAGTTTGCTTATTATTTTCAATGCATCACCTGTAAAAATAAAATAATATTGAAATATTTTATAAGACTCTTTTATATGAATTGTTCTTACCTGGATAGGCTATCAAATGTTGTATAAGTTTTAGTGCATCTTTCTGCGAATTAATAATTTTTTCCATAGTTACCATAGCCTCCTTGGGTGTGCGCATAAACTTACTTATAGCCTGCGACGCTCTGTCGGGGTCCCGTACTATAAACTCTACCATTTCTTCGCTAGTCATCAGCTCAGGATTTATTTCTTCTCGCGCTATTACACTTGTAGGTGATGATGATGTCGTGCTGTTGGCCGCACATTGCACATTATTATTTGCTGATGCACTATCAAATGAGCAACAACTTTGCGAATCTATAGATGTATTTGCATCAATGCCACTACTGTCGGCTGCCTGCTGTTGCTGTTCTTGCTTCTCTGTTTCGATTTCCTTAATATTTTCATCTGTGTGATGTTTTTGTTCATTCAAACGACGCTTTTCACGGTTACTTTCTATCTTTCGTCGCTTAATAAGTTTATCTTCCTCAGTCATAATATTTTCGCTCTTCATGCCTATGTCGACACATTTTTTTAAACGACATTTCTGACAAAATCGCCTTGTCACCACGGTTATTTCACAGTTTTGGCTGAACGGGCACGTGAAATGTTTCTTGGCTAAGGCATTACGTCGAAAAAATGCCTTACAGCTCTCACATGTTACGGCATTGAAATTATATCCTAATGCTTTGTCACCACACACAGCGCAGACTTTTGGAGGCGACATCGTTAAATATAGTACTTATCCAAATCTTACTTTGTTTTTATATTTTTTGTTATATTAATTAGTCATATTGTTTACATGATAAGCGTAACAAAAATAAATTTTTACTTAATAAGCATTTTCAACCACTCTGCCTCTTCCACGGTGATTTAACTATTCTTTCTTTAAATCTTTATCACAACATTAATTAATTCATCAAATTTCCCATAAAAATAACTTCACAGCGATGATAGCACTCAACTAGTGCAAAACAACTGACCTTCGATAGTTATCGATTAATGCGTTCGATTTTTTGGTAAGAAAATCTTTTCACATAGAATAATAACTGCACGTATAAATTTCTATATATTAATACTTCACACAATTATATTATTACCGAACATCTTATCCCGTGTGCGAGTTTGAGTAAATTGATGGCAAATTAAGAGAAATAGTAAATTATGTCGGTATGGCAACGATTTTTGGTATTTACCAGACTTTCGAGTAGGGTAAATTATATATCACCATTGTGAAAAGTTTAAAAGATGTTTAATACATAAATAAACAAGTTTGAAAACTTTTAACCAAAAATAATAAATAAGTGCAATAAATAAATTAATAAATATTTGCATGAGTGCAGTGCAAAAAATCCCTAGGAAATTTCAACTTACTTAACCTCAATTTATTCGAACTCATACACAGCCTTAATATATACACAAACATGAATGTAGCAGTTAGACGAAGGGGATGGAGATTCTAAACGCCTTACATCTTAATACATTATAATATTTCACAACAAAAATTTTATATTATTATTTATGTGCTTTACATTTTCATAGTGCATAGAAAACAAAGCCGTCTAACAAAAAACTATATAAAAAAGCTTACTGAAACAATTATATATACGAGTAAAACAGTTTTTAGGAGTCTATGCGTTTCTTAGAAATGGACATGCGGTTAGAAACGGTGTTAAAATACGTCCATAGAGTTAAATTTCAGGGAACTTTAAGGAGTGCTGAAATAAATCTCAGTTTATTTTGGGGGTTTGAAAAAAACTAAATATGTAGTCGTTTTTAATTTTTGTAGATTTAATAATTCTAAAGAATAATTGTGTCTTAAATACTTTTCACATATTTGAATATCTGTTAAAATTTTTTTTTATTTGGATTATAAAACACTAAAATATTCGTAATACTAACTTTCACGAATGTAAAGAAGATAATTGGATTAGATTGCAAATAATAATTTTCATCTGAACCACAATTCGTTTTGTATTTAGACAATTAAGTATAATAAGTGGAACTTTGGACTTCTAGAATAATTTCTAAAATGTCTCCTTAATAAGTTCTTTATTAAGTGCGCTTCAAATTATGAATAAATTTGTCAAGAACCTTATCTGTTACAGCACTATCTCATCGCCCCCAATTACACCTCTTCGTATATGCATATGCATTAATTGAAAGTTAATAATAATTATTACACGTTACCAATATCGGAATTAACTTGAGAAATACATGGCAATAAATGCCAATTTTTATTCAAATGTAATATAATGTGGAAAGTTTTCATTCTATTCCTGTATTTTTTTAGATCCTATCAAACTTTTATAGTCTACCTATGGACAGATGGTAATCAAATAAATCAATATAACATAAAATATGAAGGCAGTGCTAATTACTAATCATAAATTCATTATAATAATACATGTCAGAAACGTTGAGCTTTCAACCTCAACGGATTTTAGAGGTTACAGTGCTCTTCCTTCAAATACTTGTTAATTACAGACGATTTAAATAATTTAAATACATATATGTGGGGCTTTAATAGATTTCGCTGAAATAAAGACTTTGTGGCGACCCAATTGGCTGTGCATTTATTGAGATTGAAAACCAAATTTCAATTTCAAATATTTTTAAGTTTTGAATTGGGATTGAGGAAAACGTTTCGAATTTGACTCGTGAAAAAAGTTGAATAAAGTTTCATTAATATTGTCAATTAGTTGTATTTCTATTAATTAGCAAAGAGTTTCGATCATTGCTAAAACTTAAAAACTTAAACAGTTCTTCATACAAGATTAGATGATTCGCTTTGCATTTCGTTACAGTTGCGCGTTAATGGAGTCATAACAAATTTACTACTTGGTAAACTAGTAACACATATCTATACAGATGATTATTGTGATTTGTAGACAACACGTACAAAACAATTTGTTGATTATATGTTTAAAAAATTAGGAGTATTGCATTATTTTAAACCTATTTTGTACTATAATTTACAATAATATAATATTGACAATAATAATATTGATTTATTTGTGCAGCAATTTGATTGAAAGTAATTATAAGATCATTTAGTCGACAACACCATAACTTAACGGATGAAGTACAAGATTATGACTAAATGGACGCCACTATTACTATATTCATTTATAAATTAAATTATATTTCAAAGACACATAAAAATATGAAATTAAATGTAATATCTTTGTTTTAAAAAAATTGTATTAAAATATTGAGTTATACATTTTTTTCCTAGTATTGTCTTCACTAAACCAAGCGCCATAGGTTTAGTCTCAGTTCACCTTATATTGTTGGCATACGCGACAACATTTATTGCTTAGCCTTTTTCTTGAGACTTTCTATGTAGATACCCAATCCTTTTTGTACACTTGGCTGATTAATGAAAAAAAGAAAAGCTTCCAAATCGTTGTCGCGTTCATCTTCAAATTGTTGTAAATCTTTTTGTCTAAACTGTTGTTTTGTCAAAGATCTGGCAAATGGATTGACCTTTTCAAAAGTTTGTATAAATTTTTGGCATTCAGAAATAGCTGCAGATTTGTTTTCAGTAACAGAATCGATAAGGCCAACTCGTAAAGCCTCATCAGTGGTAAACATTTTTCCTTGTGTTAATGCCATCTCAGCCTGTCGGACCGGTAAAACGTTTAAAAATGTGGCCATAAACCATTTAGGTGCAACAATTCCTAATTTGGTTTCATTTAAACCTATTGTGAAATTTGGTAACATGGTACGGAATTCGCAAGCTGTCGCTAGCAAACAGCCACCAGCTGGAGAATGTCCCTACAATGAAAAAAATTATTAATAGTATTTAAATATTTTTATATTAATATTTTACATTAATTGCAGCTGCAGTCGGTATTCCAGATCCATACAATGATAACCAAGTGTCTTGTAGAGCTATCCAAAATTTCCGCACACGATCTTTGTCGGGTTTGTACATTTCCATTATATCGAGGCCAGCTGAGAAAATACTATTCGATGACTAAAAAATAAATAATAATATGAAACTAAACAATTAGAAAACAATAAAACTGATTTTTTAAATACAATTATTTCATTTCCTATTGTATTTAGTGTAACAATTATGTTTTGATATATCAAATTTTTTTTTATTTGAAGCAGTTAAGCAGTTTTATTGATATTTTTTACATATGTACATACCTCTCCCTTTTTTAAATATCTTTGTTTCTTGAGTTTTTAGACGGCAAAAAATTGGTTAAGCATTATTTTAAGAAATATATTTACCGATGTTAGTATTAATCCACGAGATTTGTTAGATTCAATAGTATCGATAGAAGTTTTAATATCCTGCAATAACTCCAAGTTTAAGCCATTAACCGGTGGCCTATTCATAGTTAAAATAGCAATACCCGATTTATCATCAACTTCTACTGTAGTTAACCCATGTCCAACGGACATTTGACGTGCTCGCATCAAAGGAACAGCTACCTTTCTGCATAGTAAATAGGCGTTGCGTTGCATTGTAAATTAAAACTATTTACGTATCCCTGCAATTATGTACCACACAAAATTGGACTATGTACTTTAATTGAAGAAACTACAATAACAACTCTCTGCTCTTTACAAAATATATTTACAATTCTTAAATCACTTGCGCACAATTATAAACGTTGGTATGGAGGACAGGGTTGTTTCAAGTTTGTATTTCAAAATGTATTAATTAATTTACAGTATATAGTTTAAAGTAATAAACATCTTGTACAATTTTTATATATATTTCATATAGTGTGTAGTTTAAAGTGTTTTACGAACGAAATAATTTTATATAGCTAATTTTCATAACTTATGTATTATGTATGTCATTATACATGGGTTAATGTATTAATGGGTTGTTTATCAATAATAAGAATTACTTTCAAATAAAAAAATTTTAACAAATAATATATTATTATTTTTTAATTATTAATTATTTAATCTATAATTAATTAAAAAGAGAATAAATCGATGTAAACAAAAATAAAAAATTAGGGTCCCTACAATTATAATTGCGAACATGACATGACAGTTTAGTAAACACAATAAACACAGCTTTTACTTCGGTGTCATTTTGACAATCCAATAAATTTTTACATTTAATGAGCTCGTTCCTCTTTACTATTTTAATTAATTTTTAAATTAAAAAGAATCTAAAATGAGTAACCGTGTTAAAGCTCGTGAAGTAAAACCAGGTGAAGTGGTTGCATATAGCGAATATAATATTCGTAGCAATTTATCAGCAGTAGAATACTGTCGCACATCTACTGCTGCAATTTCTGGTTCCGTAGCAGGTATAATCAAGGAAAATTGTATGAAAATTAAATTACAGCAATTTGTTTTTAGGCATATTGGGATTAAGTGGATTAATTGGATTTTTCTTTTACTTCTTGACGGTTTTCTTGTTATGGTTGCTCATCCTATTTAAATCTGGTACACAGTGGCGCAAGTATTTTATTAATAGGCAAAGTTTGCTAACCAATGGCTTCATGGGCGGACTTTGCACATACGTACTATTTTGGACATTTTTATATGGCATGGTGCACGTTTATTGAGTGTTTGTAGTATGTAATAAAGTTTCTAAATAGATGTAGTTCAATATTTTTTTTTTGAATAATAAACTGATTTCTTTTTATTTATAAAATTTATTTCTACTTAATTGGCTCTTCTGCTGCAGCAGCAGCGGCGATACCTGAACAATCACA